GTAAATCTATAGTATAATCTCAACTATCTAAAAGATAGATCTATGTAGAAAAGAATGACTAAATATGTGTATGTACAAGGTCTTTCCAGAAATCTAGCCATGTAATATGAAAAATGGAGACATTTATTGAATAAGATACAAGAAACATTGTACATAAGACAATGACACCTCAGTCCCCTTCAAAGTAGGCACCTTGGGACCTCACACAGTTGTCGTGATGAAGTTGGCAATTACCAGTTGCCCATAACTGCAGCCTTCTGAATCATTCAAATAGTTTCCATGGAGGAATGTTCAAGCTTAACACAAAATTAGATGCAGATTGGTTGCTCTACTCACTCAGTCATTTTGAATGTGATGGCCACACAGTGCACATGCTCACTCAATGGCGTCTACTGCCCCCACTGACTAGTACAGTGAAGTCATCATTGTTCACACATGCTCATTCCAGTCCATTCTCCTTGGCTGCCAGGTTACATCGATGGGGCCAGGTTAGGGGTCAGTGGTTATGGGGAAGGGGGACTTGGAGAACATCTTAATCAGCAAAGGAGACATTCGGTTATTTTGACAACATTCACACAAACCATTCTCATTATATTAACAATGGCTGGACTTTGTCCAGATGGATCTTGTATTTTTATGTATATATGTTAATAGTGATGGAATTCTGATGAAGTTTCTTTTCTTTTGACATTTTTATATATGTTCCAGATTAAAAAATTAATAGGAATCACTCAAGGACATATTATTTTAAAGTACACATACAAACATGTTTAAGAGGAGAGGTTGCTCCAGACATCATAGCTTCCTCGGTGACTGTGGGGCAGGCCTTGCTAATTATCATGCACATTACAGACCCAACTGGGCCTCTTAAGAACAGCCACCATTTTTCCTCTAGAAGCAATTTGTAATTCATTAGCCAATTTGCTGCATCTGCTTCTGAAAAAATCTGGGTGTTTGACTGAACTTGAATCTGTGGGATGGTTTTTCAGAGTTGAATCTTAGACAATGTTCCTCCTGCCCCTAAGGCGTGTTCCTGTTACAGAGGGGTCAGTGGTTATGGGGAGGGGGACTTGGAGAACATCTTCATCCGCAGAGGAGACATTCGGTTATTTTCACAACATTCAAAAATCAGCTTCTGGCACTTGCCAGAAATGACCAAAGGCTGGTGGCACTGTAACTTGGCATCTAGCAAGATGTGGTGGTTCTCACAGGCTACTTAGCTCCAAAAGATATCAATTTAATTCTGTAAAACAGTGAGGAAATTGAAAAAGTTCCAATCAACAGCATGAGCCCCACATTTCTCCAGCCATAATGTGCTCCTGAGAGATGTTTTCTGTGAGTGAACTTCTTGCTGAAGTGCACACGTGGTGCTGAACACCAGAAAACACCTTCAGAGAGGTGCGAGATTCGGTTCCGTTTTTCTCCCTTTTCTCGTGGAGGTGGGTGTATTTGTCTGGGGTCATATGTGTTCAATTAAATGATAATTTCTAGAACACTAGGAATGAGTTGGTTGCTAAATTAAGTTGTAACACAGCACACAATCTCTTTAATTCCTTTCCTAAATTGTGATTTAATGTAAAAAATCCAATAAGTTCTCCCTTTGTCAAAATAGAGAAAATTTCATTTAAATGTTTAAAGGTACAGTTGGCATCTTGTTTTATCCTATGGCTTATAATTTATTAATATCATTTATTTTGATCCTCAAATTGTTCCAGATTTAACCAATAGAAAAATATGTATGTAGAAATAGAGACGTAGCCCTGGCTGGCATAGCTCAGTGGATTGAGCACGGGCTACGAACCAAAGTGTCACAGGTTCGATTCCCAGTCAGGGTACATGCCTGGGTTGCAGGCCATGACCCCCAGCAACCGCACACTGATGTTTCTCTCTCTCTCTCTCCCCCTCCTTTCCCTCTCTAAAAATAAATAAATAAAATTTTTTAAAAAGTAAAGAAATAGAGACGTATATAGATCAGTGGATCTCAACCGCCGGAGATTTTGCCTTTTATGGAACACTGGGCAATGTCTGGTGGTGTTTTAGTTTTCATATCTCAGGGCTGAAGGAGGGGACGATAGGAGCGCCTCACTAGGCTTTGGTCTGTATGCTCTGATCTGCAGCCTGTGGGGAAAATGACGTGTCCCTTGTTGAACATGTAAGTTCGGCTCAGTCAGGCATTGTCCATGACCTCTGGGGTCACAGTCTTCAGGGAGGCTGGGGTCATAGCCTCCCTCCCACAGTCAGGGAGGGAAGTAAGCAGCGGCCCTAAGTGTGCTCATGGCCCATCACTATACTCGCTTGCTTCCCCGTGAGAATGCACACCCTCATGTTGAGGCCATATTTAGACCGAGAATCAATGTTCTGCTTAAACTCTCCTTCAGAACCTGCACTTGGAAGCTGTTGGTGAAGAACCCACCCCTCCCCACCCAACCCCTCTTTAGCTGTGTTTTGTCTCAGGGCTGCATTTTATTTCGTGTATAGCAAGGAATTGTTCTCCGGTCTCCTTCCAACAGCATCATGAGCTCCTCTGGGTCAGGGGCCTGGCCTTCTACAATATGTAGGTGCAGTGTAGGGGCCAAGAAGAGTTCAGGCTCTGGAGACACACTGCCTGTTCCCCCTCTTACTAGTTGCATGACCTTATGGAACCTGTTTGTGCCTCAGTTTTCTCAACTATTAAATGGGGAGAAAAATAGCACACCTGGTAGAGTTTAAATAAATTAATATAGGTAAGTTGGCACAGCATGGTACATATTAAGAGCTTAATAAAAGTTAATGTTCTTTCATTCAGTCAGTCATTCATTCTATGTTATTGAGAGATTATTTCTGTCCTCACCCACCCCTGTACAATGTTTCCCAGCCTCTGTGTAGGAAGATGTCACTGATGTTTTCCAGTCACCCAGGTGCCCCTACAGCCCTGCCTCTGACTCCTGATGACCCTGTCTCATTGACTCAGCTCCAGTGCTCATTGAGAATCTCCATGCTCAGCGGCAGCACAGTGATTGAAACTTTTTAATCCATCGTGTCTCTGCCCCTTTCCCATCCCATCTTGTCATATCCAGCGCTCTTATTCCATCCATTGGGTTTCACCAACAACCCTCACACTGTGCTAAAGGATTTTTATTTCAGTTGCTTCTCATAAGAGCCCTGTGTGAGAAAGAGACTGTTATTTTCCTCACTTTACATTTAAGGAAACAAGCTTGGAGAGGTTAACAGGCTTGACCAAGGCTGCAGAATTGAGAAGCAGGATGTTTTTCCTCCATTTTCCAAGTAATGATGTACCTTCAGTAGGGGAGAACCCACTGCATAGGTAGGCTGTAGCCCAAAAGTTGATGCCATTGTTGGATGCCAAAGTTGAAGTCTTGTTTGACTTCCTTGCAAATCACAGAAGCTGGAAGGGTCCTGCGCAGATTTAGCATTTGTCATGGGCCACGGGCCGTGCTAGGTGCTGGGACAAAAAAAAAAATGGAAAAAGTTGGTCAGTGACCTTCATTTGCTTAGGGTCTCAGTTATCTTTTACTGTGTAATGAAACAGCTCAAAACTTAGTGGTTTAAAACAATGACTTATTGTTTCTCAGGATCCTGTGAGTTGTCTGGACTCACAAGACAGTTCACTTCCATGTGGTACTGTTTGAAGTCACTCGTGTGGCTTTGTTTAGCTGAGAGCGTGGCTTAGGGTCCAAGATAGCCTCATCTACATGCCTGACAGTTGGTGCCGGCTGTGGGCGGGGGGCCTCTCATGCTCCAGGGCCTCTCACCATGTGATCTCTCTGGCAGGATTGCCTGGACCACTCTACATAGTTGTTGACTTCCAGAGAGTAAAAATGGAAGCTATGTGGTCCCTTTAAGGTCTAGTCACAGAGTTCACACAGCACCACTTCTGTGGCATTCTGTGTGGCCCAAAGCAAGTTACAGGGCCAGCTCAACAGGTGGGGAAGGGGACTCTACCTTTTTTTTTCTTCATCTATTTCTGTGCCTGGACCCTGCTCCCCTATTCCTGGGCTGGGCACCATGGTCTTCAGTTAGTGCTTTTGACCTCACTGACCAGCATTGACCAGGCATCCCTGCCTCGTCATTTTCTTGTCTGTACATTAGAAACATGAGATGATGCTGGATTGTACCACATGCATAAAAAGTGGCTGTCCAACCCCAACCAGATGTTATAAAGTGAAACTCAACACAATTGTGTAATGCTTCAAATAGCTTATTATACTCCAGTACATTTTTTTCTAAAATCCAAAATTACTGCAATATAAAATGTGTTGCTTGTTTTGAAATGGAGCAGGTGAGCCATAAATTATTAATTTCTCTCAGATTAAACACAAACCTGAAAGTAATTAAGAAGTTCTACTTCCCCAGATCATTATGATGCTGTTTCAGATATTTCCAGTCTCCTGGGTAGAGAACAGATATTCACTTTGTATTCAAGACAATGTTCTGTTTGTATCAAATACAGTTCTGGGGCCTTCCCAAACCTTCATGCGGGTGTCTGACTCTTACTGAGGGGTAAGGTAAATAAGAGCACTAGATTTATAGGGTAAATAGTTCTTTGATTTATGACTTCCTGAAGGCCATACAGTTTTAAAGAAGATCTGGTAGAGACACTCTCCAAGAAAAAAACAGTCACTTGATTTCTGCTGTATTCAGTACATTGTAGATTGTATGAAACTATTGTTAAATTCTTATAGCGTTTATCATTTTATAAATTAAGTGAGTAACGTTTGTTCATTATTGAAATTTGGAGAAGGCAGAAGCACACGAAGGATAAAATAAGGATCACCTGCGACCCCACCCTGTAGTCACAACCACCATTACCATTTTAGTGTCTGTTTTCCCTGTCAGAGAGAAACATGTTTTTCTTTTTTTAAAATGGGATCGTACTGTAAAATAATGTTGCAACCAGATTTTTTGTGTATTTTGTTGGGCCTAAATGTGGCAAAAACATTTTTCATGTCATTAGAGATCCTTCTACCATCCAGGGCAGTAACTCTGTCTTGTTTTAACAGGGCAGCGATGTTGAAGCGCTGGTCAGGTGTTTGGAGAATGTTCTGGGTTGCACCTCTCTAGGTAAGTTTCTTTATTCCAAATATAAAGGTACTTACTGATTCCAGTGCACCATCCAGGAAATAGAAAGCTTAGAAAGAATCTTTGGGATATTTCAGTCCAACCTCCTTCTGTTATAGGTGGGGAAACTGAGGCTGACAGAGTCTGAGTGTCTTGCCCGTAGACCCGGGAGTCTCAAAGCAGAATTGTTTATTATTGATGTTAGTGACCCTCAGTCTCCGAGAATGAAATAATTGAAATTCGGTGATTTATTGTGATAAAATGGTGGCCTAGCAGTGCTTCCTATCTGGTTTTACAGGTTTCTGTGAAGAGAAGTCTGTCTTCCTCACTCCCCCTGTAGAAACAGGTTGCATTCAGGCCAGCTGAAAGGAACATCACCCTGAAGGTCAGTTAGTTATTGGAAGAGATTTGGTCTGAAAAACGACGTTGAAATTTCTTTAGCCTTGTCAGTCTCCGTATATGAGATTGCTGTGTGCTCCAAGGATAAAACCTTATTTCTTAGTTTCTTCTTCTTTTTTAAATCCCAAAAGACAACTGTGATAATGTTGGGTACTAGATGATAAATTGTCATTTTAAAATTTTTTAATTATGTGACCAAAAGCCATCTCTTTGAAGGGAATGGCAGGCATAAAGATTGAATTTGCAGGTGTGCCAGCATTTACCACTCTTTTATTAGGAGCTTAGTGCTCAAATCGTAGCCTTTTTCTAGCTTATTCCGCAGCTCTGTGTGCAGAGCATCAGTATAACACAGCTCCCTAACTTTTTCTCCTGACTGTCCTCCTGGGGTCTGTTACTACTATGTGCAATAACACTTAGTAGGCACATTTAACTCCCAAGAATGGACCTGAAGACTAGGAAGGCTTCCCTTTGGCTGAGTCCCTTTCCCTCCGACCTCAATTAGATTACCTCAGCAATTTTCAGACTGGGTTCCTTGGGACCTCTAGGGGCAGGAAGGGAGGGTGGGGGTGGGGGGCGGACACTGAGCTGCCCCAGGATAGAAGCCAGGTCTGCACTGCTCATCTCTGCGTCTCTGAGTCTAACAGCGCCTGGGACAGAAGAGGCATTTAGCAGATCTTTTAAAACTTTAAGAGAGACCACACCTGCTCCTTTACCAGCTTCAACCAAGACACTAATTTCACTCTTATTTGTTTTGTAGATTAGATTTTGGCATATAAGATTGTGTCTTGAAAAAGATGGATTCTATTGCAAAAGAAATGAACAGTGAATTGGAGATATGATATCTAAATTCCCTTCTGGACTGTATGATTTTACAAAAATGAGCATTAGAAACATGGAATAAAAATACACATTTATCTCTGCCTGGAGCCCCACAAAATGACAGAAAAGAAATAAGTGATATAAACCCACAGGAACAAAGGGACAGGAAAGGACATAGGAGCGGGCCACGGCTGTTAGTAAATTTGAGAAGATGGAAAGCAGATGAATGAGTGGTGATTTAGGCAAGAGAGAAAGGTGAAAGCTTAGTACCTAAGATGGGTGTGGGGAGGAAGAAACGGGAGGCGCGATGGGGGAGCATGCTTTGGAGGGGACGCGCTGCCTGCTGCGCTAAGGAGGTAACTAAGCGTGCTTTTGAAATGCCTGTCTGTCTGGGATGGTACTTACAGCTGGACCCTCATTGCAGACCCCAGGCACTTCTCTCTGTTATTACACAGAAGCCATGATGAAACCTCCTCACATAGTCTCACAGGGGATGCGGTTGCCCAGGTAGCTAGTATCTGTTTTGCTATAATGCCATTTTTGGGAAACTGGCCAGTTATAATAATAGAGCTAGTTAATCACTGTGCTTGTTCATATATGTCAGAATGTTAACAGAATATGAGGGACAGTTTACACTTAAATGTGTCAGAGTATAAGCCTCGTCACATAAAAATGAGAGCTCTGTGAATTGAGCTAGACTTTGCTCACATTCAGCATCAGCCTGTGCATTTTATAGCCCTGAAAATGTTTATGCAGTGGTTTGACCCCATCCCCAACACCAGATTTAGGTTTACTTCTGTTTAATACAGGGACAGTGTATTTTCCCTTCTCACGTCACTAGGGAGTAGAGAGTGATGAACAAGTAAGCACTGTGTAGCTTCAACAGATCCTGAATTAGAAGGTGCCCTTTTGAATTCCAAGTTCAGTTTATCAGTCTCCTCTATGCACCAAGGTCACTTTAAAGCCTTTGGATCCGTGCTTCTCACACTTGAGCGTGTGTCAGAACTACTTACAGGGCTTTGAAAATGCACATCTAGTGCATGCTGGAGAAGTCATATTCCCAACAATTTTCAAGTGAGGCTGACGCTCTGGTCCCAGACCACTCTCGGGGAGCCATGGAAGCATGTAAAGTTTAACGTTCTGTTTTGATGTTTGAGACGTTACCTGTACTCTAGAGAGAACTCATCAGCGGAATGACACAAGTCCTTGGTAAACTATATTTATAAAAAAGCTGTCTGTAGATCTAAGCTGAATATTGTCACAGAAATAGTTAGAATAAAAGCAGAGTCTTCAAAATCTCTCTGCCCATTAAGATTCCTTTGGAGTGTTGATATGTTTAATTAGTTTGGCTTTTTGAAAATTGTTTGTCCTCAATCCTTCCATTAATCTTTGGAAATAACTATTTAATCTCTACTAAACAATGTGACTAATAGACACCAGAGAAGGTGACAGGCTTCTGAATCTCTTAGAAACTTCATTTACTTAAGCTCTACAAACTCTAAGCCACTAAGTGTAGGGATGACTGACAGCCACTTAACCTTGCACTATGGTGCTTTTCACCTTGACAGAGAAGCATTTCTTGTAATCATGACAGTGATTTCAACACAGTGCTTTATCTGTGGGCACTGGCACATTGAAACCACTACTTTTGGAGATGAGGAGGGATATTTTGGATCACAAATGACTTGGGTCATTTTGATGTGAATGCACAATGTTTGTTTGCCACTATCCCTTCTGTTTATGCACTAGAGAAATTTAATAGTTTCCATAAGTTCTTTGAAACTTGAAAGGATGCAGCAGTTTCAGAATTAGTGGCAACTTCCAAGAGAACCTGCTGTCTGTCTGTTACCACGGCAGACCCATTCCCTTGGCGGATGTGTGGTGATGGAAGGAAGTTGGGAAAAGATTTTGTAATACAAATAAATCCCTAAAACAATTTTATTAATCATTCTTAGTACTAAACTCTTAGCAAAGGACATTCTGTATATTACTAATGCCTAGGGAAAAAGTTCCAGTAATCACGTTTCCCTAGTTAAGAGTCTCAGCAACCACGCTCTCATTCATTACTCATACATTACAACTTCATCAAAGTTAACATACGTTGTAGAGGAGTGGTATTAGCTCCCAATGATGTGTTGGGCCTGGATCCTGCCGCTAAAAGCTTAGATTTCCGAGGAGAACTAAGACAAGAACCTAAATAATGATACAGCAAGAGAGTAAGGATTCCAAAAATGGGGGCATTGCTTTTAGTTAGGGAGAGAGAAGTCATGAAAGAAGCTTGAAGGAGAAGGTGGCACCTGAGATCATCCCTGACATAAGGATACACCTGGCCATGAGGAGACGGGAGGACGGCCCTGCAGCTGCAGGGGACACAGCAATGACCATGAGGAGCACACTCGGGGGCGGGGCAGGCAGGACCAGGCCGGCTGTGCCGGGCGAGGGAGAACAGTTCCGCGTGTGTCATTTGCCCGATCATCACACTGTGAACATGGCACAGACTGGCTCAGTGGCTAATTTTTATTATTTTCTTCTAAACAAGTACGATCTTCTTTTCCTTGGAAAAGGTGTTCACTAGGATCTTCAAGATCCACTGCCCTTTGGTGTGGAGGAGAGTGCTCCCTGCCACTGTCTCCATGGGGTAACCACAGCTGAAAAATGTGGGGTCTGCTCGTCACACGCCTCTTCTTAACCTGTACGCACACTTAATCGCTTATTAAAAAATAAGACCCTCCTTTTTATTATTTTATTTTATTTTATTTTATTTCATTTTATTTTTACTGATAGGTACTATTCTTAGAAGCTTCTGGTATATTCAGAAGGAAATGAGCATTTCCAAACCCCTGAACTCCTGTTTTTAATTTTCCATATAATTTAGTTGAATATCTGTTGTATGAAATAACATGTAGTAAAAATAGAAACTTTATTGATTTCATATCTCCTGATATTTATTATCTCCTCATGAGTAGCAAATTTGCTTTTCTGAGCTAACCTACTTTCCTCTCCCAGTGAGTTTAATTTTGCTGGGGGCAGTGCACTGGGGTGTGTGGCATGAGGCTGAGGGAGGCACTGTCATAAATTCACCTTGGTCTTTTATCAACCACAGAGCACCTTTACAGAGATCATTGCATTTAAGCTTTCCTAGAGTCCCAAAGAAAGTTCGATTTGTTTTTTGGTACAGGTTCAGAAAGTGAGTCATAGAAGTTTTGTAACTTACCAAACATCAAAGACTCAAACCCCAGTCCTCTGAGGCAGCTCACACCCTCCTCCTGATGTGCCCAGCTCCCTTTCCCCTGGAGGCTTCTGGAGGTGTCTCTCCTGGACCCGCGTTTCCCCCTTTCCTCCTGTACGCTTCCTGCAGCAGCCCCTCGTGCAGTCTGGCTTGGACACTGCTGCCCCTGCAGGGCTGACAACAACCTCCTTAGGTGGTGGCTCCTGCCCTGCACCTATAGACACAGCTCTCTGAAAGAGATGGGCTCACCAGGGCCAGGTAGAAATGATTACATGGTTGTCATTTTCATTATCACTTTTATCAAATACTCAACTTTAGTTAAAGGCACCAAGACAACCACCTCCATGTCTCCACACCCTCCAATTCCAGCGCCCATGTGTCAGGGCTTGGGTTCTTCAGGAGGCAGCCTCTGACATGGAGTTGGGTGGGCAGGACATTTATTCCGGGGTGCCCTCAGGACTGACCCCAGTGGACAGGACAGGAGGGGAGCAGGGAGAGGCAAAGGGCCGAGTTGAGCAGTGGCGCAGGCCTGACAAGACTTTCTCCAACACACGGG